GATGGAAAGTAAGTATTTTGGGGTTTAAGGAACAGTCCGATGTGCTATTAACGGCCTTATATGCTGATGTCTATCAATGAACTGGCGGTTTTCCTGTCGTTTAAATGTATTTTTTTTAATAAAAATTTGTCAATACAAAGCGTGGATGTATAGTCGAGTGTTTTGCATAAAATAAAAAATAGAACTTCTACTAAAAATTTTCTGATTCTGAACAATAAATTAATTTATTTATGTGCTATTTCACTACTTTAGCTGTATGGGATCCACATTATTTTTTCCACAAAACTACTTATAAGTAAATCGGTTCAAAACTACTGAACAACAATGGACAATCCTATAGCAACAAAAGAACTTTGTTAATGCCCCTTATTTTCTGTTGCTAGATGTTTAAAAAATAATAAAGTACATTTAGTTTGTTTATTATTCAGTTACTCGAATTAACAAAATTTTATTTGTTTTTCAAATTAAATAAAAGTGCATGCAATGTTGCATAAAAATATTTGCTCGTTTGGCCTGAAATTGTTCCAAATGCAACGTGAGAAACTCAAATAAAATTAGTCATCAATAGCAAATTCAGGAAATTTTTCCAATTATCATAAAAAATACACTTCATACCATCAAGCAACTCGTGATTATCATCTGATGCTGTTATTCATGTCAAAGCAAATGTTTCAAGTATCAAATAAGCTATGAATCTACAAAACGTTTGAAAGTTCGCAACTCATCAAATTCATATTAATGGGAAATATTAATTCAACTCAGTGTAAGAAAAAAACATTTTAAATATTAACAATTACATAAATAAAATACAGCATTCAGAGAAGAAATTGGGCCAAGACCCAGTAAGGTTGGTACCTGCTCTATTTGGATAGCAAAGGCCCTAATATGAGACCTAATATTTGCATTTCTCATGTTAATTATGTTGAATGTTGGCGACAAGTGTTGATAATTTAGTTCCGGTGGAATAATTTGTACAAATAATTTGATTTAACACCTTTCTGGCTTGTGTGGGAATTTATATTGGCTAATGCGGTTAGGAAGTATTAGCCGGAAACAATCCTATTTAGATGTCAGGACAAGTAATACTTTTAATGTTATGGGAATGTAAAAATTACCGTTCGTAAATAAAATAACACTCGGAATAAATGAGATAATTGCAATAAAACTTGCAAATTAATTTTAACTGATTTAACATGTTAGCCATTTTAATAGGTAGGAAAAAATAGGTGCCGATACAGAAAACGACAGCTGCTATACAATTTGTGCGTTGGTGAAAAATATTTAAAATTTCGTTACTAAAAACTATTTTTAAATTTTAATTAGACAAATAAGGCATTCACTAGCAAGTGATCAACTAACAATTAAATAATGAACGAATTCTTTTTAATTTTCTGCTGGAAAAATACAAAACCGGTCTGTGATTTCAGCTTTAGCACCACCAAATATGTAGTTTATCGCTTTCATTATCCTTACATGACTGAAAAGGTTGCATAGCTGGAATGGACATTTTCCATTCAAGATAATTAAATGTTGAGCTTGCTCAATATGATAAACTAAGGTCGTAAAATTATTGTTTTTGCAAGCCAGTGCGCGACTTTTAAACGATTTTATAGTTAGGTTTATTTATGATTATTTGCGATAACTGACTTTTAGTTAGGCGTCATCATGTAATAAAAGTATTGTTTTAAAAAATAATACTAAAACTATTTGAAAACATTAACCATTGCTGGGCTTAAGGGAGTTTTAATATCGCAACCGTACGGCTCAATGTTCTTTATCTTTTCCAGTGCAAGCAATAAGTAAAACGCAAGAAGTCTGTGAATGCTTATAAAAATTATTTTCCGTCGTTTATAAGCCAGAAAAAGACTTAGGAACGATCTGGATACGTTATACAAATACATTTTTCTCATCGAATTTAAAAGTTTAATGTCGCTACTGGTCGAAAGTAGCATTGAAACAGGATACCAACATCGTATCTTCTTATTATCCAGGGGAGTTAGGTAAGAGAATATCCAGCAGAAGTAATTAATTTGAAGAAAACATTTGTTCTGGAACTTTCCTGAACACCACTAACAAACCGCAAAAATTGTATATTTTCTTTAACAAAAAGTTTATTTTCACGTATTTTGTCACAGAAGCAGCCGATCAGTAATTCAGTTAGTAACAGCTGAAGTTAAAAAGTTGCTATCATTTGCGCGCGATAGTGAGCATTGTGGTTGCCAGAAAACATTGCCTGACCACAGAGATTACAGAAATTTAGATTCCCAGAAGAGTGAAAAAAATTATTTCAAAAGTATTGCAGCTTTTTTCATATAGGTCATTCTAAAATATAGGCTCATTTTGACAAAAAATTGATGATAAATTGCCGATAAAAATTATCAAAACTGTTAAATGCACATTAAAAGAATCGAATTTTATGATGCATGTAACCGAACCGTTCTAAAGACACAAATAGGGAGAAGAGGCACTGGATAAGTACAATTGTATTGTACATATGTGCAGGAAATTGTATCCATTTATGCCAAAATATTGCCTGATAACAAGAGTTAGTAGCTTTTATAAACGAATACCTACAATGTGAAAGGAAAGCTGAAGAAAACTGCACTGTGTGGTGGGATAACCATGTGCTAAGCACGTTTTGAATATTTTCCTTGCAAAAATGCCGCCGCCACAGAAGAAATTTATTGAATTTTTCAACCAAATAATAAAACGGCACGCTGTTTTCAAAACTTATATTTCACAGTGAATAACGTGCATGTAGAGGTACCTATCTTTAACTTAAGAAAAGAAAATTAATGCAAATAATCTCCTTTGAGAGTACAATTCTTCAAAAGCAATGAACCCTTATTTATAACAAGTATTTTAAACAGGTCTCAGGAAAAAGCTTATAGTTTGTAAAGTAAGGCTTAAGTTCCAAATCCAACTAGTTTCAAAGCATGACTTCTAGTTGGAAACGACCAACTAGAATAGCTCCTCAATGCTAAATAAAATAGATCTACGTTATTTAAAATTAAAATTTTGTATATTTGCGATTAATATTCCAATAACACAACCATTTTATATTATAATAAACATTGTAGAAATATTTTTACTTAAAAGTATCTGCACTTTATTGAGAAACTCCTTTGGCCGACCAGTGCAGCCAGGAGAAGCAAAAGAAAATAATTAAAAAATAGTAAAGTTGCTTTTATAATCAGTATGCAAAACACAAATTAATCCGTTTTTTAATAGTTGCATTATTATAGGTTTATTATTAAAATAGTTTTCTGTATATTTTACCATTTTAACAACCGCTTTAAAACATTTGTGTATTTTTATGAATGTAGTTAATTAGCGACAAAAAACCATTTTGATTTAACTAAATTGGGTGGCTGCTAAACATGGAAGATAAATCATTTTTAAACGTCGATAGCACTAAAATAGCTGCCTGCATTTTGAACAAATAATGTGAAAATATTTCAGACGCTCAAAATATGCTATCAGTACAAATCTTGATCTTCATTCATTGGCATTCTTGCAGCTTTTTTTCAGTATTTCATTTCATTCCTTGTATAAGTCTAAGGACATTTAACAGATTATTTTATTTAAAAAAATTATATTATATAAAACTTCAAATCCGTAAAAAGCCATGGCAATTAATCGTGTTAAACCATTTTTTTTTAAATTAGAACGCATTAGAGATTTTTTGAGTTCTAAGTAAGTACCAAATATATTGTTTGCATTGTAATTTTTTTGTCTGCGCACGTGTAGCTATCAACACATTGAAACAAGAATTTGGTAGTAAAATTGTTCATTAATACGATTTATACCAATAAAATAAGATTAGAATATAAGATATTAGTATTTTTTTCTGAAAATGTTATTATCTTTACCTCACCAACCGTATTTTCTGTAGTAAGTAATACGTCGTGAAAAATACGGTGGTGGAAATATTCAAAAAGCAACAATTTTAAGGGTCTAAGATCCCGAAATATCGGTTGCCAAACCTTTATTCTTGTTAATCTTAACTCTGTTTAAGAAATTTCTGGTTTAAATTTTTGTGAACGGTGGCTGTTTAATGGAATCATTAATTTATTTAAAATTAACCGCTAATAGAATTGCAAACGCAGGAAAGAACTAATCGTTAAAATAAGTCTTCAAAAATATTGAATAATATAAGGCATGATCAAACGTTGTTTGCTTTTAGGAAATCTGCAAATTAATTTATTTGCACTAAACCTCTTGTAATATTAAATTTGATGTTCCTATTCAGTTCTATTTGCTCTACTTTTGAGTAGGAATATTTCTTGCTAAATGTACCTACAGGAAATTTAAATTATACGTAAACTTAGTCTCCTAAGCTAACTATCAACCAGATTATTAAAACACAAAAGCCAAACCATATTTTCATAGTAGGTAAACGGTTATTTACGAAAAAATAGGTAGGTATTTCGAAATCGATTTTAATCCAATTAGCTACACAATCTGAACTATTGCTATCCGTTCGCAATATAGCGCGAAACAGTACCTACTTTGGCTTATTTTTAGTGAAGTCTCCTGATTTCTGTAAATTTGTAAAAAAATTAATAAAAAATTTTTGCAGTTTTCGAAAACTTTAATGTGCAAATACATAGGTACCTATAGATAAACTAATTTAATTTCCATTTCCAAAACATATAGGTACTTATTGAAAAAAGGGGCTCCGTAAAAGCCAATTTTAAAAACGTTGCTTATAAATGATGGGTCTGAGGATTTTATGTGAAAATATTTGAAGAATGTGCACCTTTTCCTGCTCATTAAGCAACCCTATTTATGTGAGTTAGTTAAGTTAAATTGAATAACTGACTGATTACTACTTATGGCATTTAAAAGTCGAACGTACAAAATCTCTATTGTCTCACCTTTAGTTTATTTAGTATCACAAAACGTCTTTCGTGTAAGTGAAATTTAAAATATTCTTTAAATCTCCTTGAGAAAGTAATTCTTAAAACCTGCCGAGATGTACCTATCTAACCACTTACTTTGAAGCAATGGGTACGAATGTCCAGTCGTACCCCTGTAGAACTTTGGTAACAGCATCATTTATCTCGGTCTTGTCCAGCTGTTTCGATTGTGGGACAACAGATTTTTCCGCAGTGGATAAAGTACCCGCAGGAGAAGACGTGTCCTGCAAAGATGTGACGACGCCGGGCGTCGTTGAAGTCACTGTGGCAGCTACCGATCGCGAAAGCATTTTCACTGTCCACTTTCTTATCGTAAAAGTTATGAATGAAGAGCCGAATCACCTGTGAAGTCCAAATAAACAACTCTGGCCCGTAACCCGCGCTCCAACAGTACCAACAATTCGAATGAGAATGAACGAACTCAAAGAACGCTTTCAGAATACTTTTTTTGAATCATCTGGCGCGGTCTGTGCATAATCAACCGTCCTTATTTGCATCTCAAGACCAAGCGAGACGGACGTTAACTCACTTTATTCATGAGTCGATTTCTGGGGCCAATAGCAGGCGACGGACAACGACTTAGTCCGCCTTTGCTCTCCGATTGGTGTGAAAATTTTTGCTTCTTGATTTTGTTGTCTCGTACCAAGGATTTCTTCATTGGGAAAAAGGATGTCTTCATTTCGCTTGCATGATACCTGCTTACTCAACATGGTTTACGTGATCCAGCTATTAATAAATTTAACTAAAAAATAATCTAATTCTTCCCATGACTGTAACATGTCGTATGTTAAAAGTTTATTACGCCAAAGTTTAAATACCTTTAAGGTTGCCAAAGGCATTTGGTTCTTCTTTTTTGATAGGCATTTCCTATTTTCGTATCTTCTCCTTTAATTACAAATCTAATTTCCTATCGGAGTTAAACAAACATTCCTTTATAACTATTTGCAAATGACCCTGTTCTAAACGTTTTTTCAATGGCAACTAAAAACTTGTAAAAGTGTCTTTTTTGTGAGCGGTGCTTACCCGCTAACATAAAAATATCATTTTTATAAGCGATATTGAAGCATTTCCTTCCCACTTATATTCCATAGGCTTTTTCACCTACAAATCAAGCAAAAAGTTCGTTTGAAAATGTTTGTTTTTATTTCAAATAGTTATCATTCACAGTTAATAAACCTTTCAAAAACTCCAACATTACTACTTCTTTCTACCTATTTTCTTTGCAGAATCTACAAATCTTTAGAAATAATTACATCTGTGCCATATGGATTATAAGTAAGAGTCTGTATCTGATGTGATGATTCTGTATAAGTCGGAACAAATTATTATCAAACCATATTTAGTTTGGTTTATTGACTGGGCAAAACTACATTCGGTTCGATTTATATCCATCATATTTGCTGTGTGCAATTTTCCATTTTAGATTTTAACTAATTCAACTTGTAAAGTATCAGCAATCAAGTGAAAGTTTAAAGCAACTCTTTACACATTCGTCAAATATTTGTTTTCCACAAACTTACACTTTAAATCTGATAACAACGTCTCCTCATGGGTATCAGAAATTTTAGAAAACTAGAACATTTTTTGTTTTTTTTAATACTAGTAGATATTCAATTTACCGTAGATTCTTAAATCGACAGTTCCCATAGCATTTTATGATTCAGAAGTGGCATGAAATTAATTTGTTCTTGAGCTTCCACTACAGTTTGAAAAAATGTCCATTTTCTATTAATTTACTCTCGCATTTTTGGAATATTCTGATTCAGAGTCTTCATATCAACTTTCGAACTCAGGCCTATACTTATCCATCTTCCAGATCTTCTATGCTAGATTTTAAATTAAGACATTTCCAATTCTTATGGAAAATGTTCTTAATTCACTTTAGAAAAACGATTTTGCTGATTTCAATAAAAAATAACAGTATGTAACAGTAACAGTTTTAATTTTTTTTTGGCAACAATAGGTACTTTGAATCATTCTTCCACTTGGTTTTTTTAAATACCTACTTATTGTATGAATTAATGTCAAAACAAAGCCTGTTGTTAAGATTCAAGTGTATAAAGTGTGCTTCTTCTGTATTAATTGTTTATACATCATTATATTTATTATTATTATTATATATTATTATGTTTGTCTATAAATTGAAAACATCTTTTCGAAACCATTAAAAAAGTCTCACATAAAAAGTCGATTGATATATGATATGAGGATTGATATGTAAACTACCAGTTATTTAAGGATTTACAATTTTTTGAAAACTTGAAAACATTATTCACCTGTGAAAATAATCGCCATACATTTCTTGACTTTAAACATTGACCGACTTTAAAATGTATTTATTTTCAATTGCCAAGACTCTCAGAACGTCCTTCCATTCGAATCTTGAACCATTTCAGCAAAAAACGTTTGCTCCTTTGCATAGCTTCAAGTAAACATATTGCCAACTTTTGGTTCTTTTATTTGTGATTCTTTCCATTTGATTCATTATGTAACTGATATTATTCACATCTATCTGCACCTGGACGCAGATCTTTAACTGATTCTGAAATTATTACGCACAAGGACCAAACTTAATGGTGCATGTTAAGCCGCCAATTCATGAGGCGTATCGAGCGTCGCGACGCGTGTCGTCACTCTATCTACCTGGATCTGCAAGCGTGCTAATGAACATCTAAATAGCGAGACTTACCGCCATACAATCAGATAAACAGATATGTTGCATAAAATATATTTAATTTGTTGCTGCTCATTATATTATTATGTTTTAGATTTAATTTAACAACAAAATTGCATGGATATCAACAATATGTACTGTATTTATCAAATTTGGGTTTAAAAACGAACAACGATTACAAAATGTTTCATTTCCCCAAGGTGTTTCATTTTACATTTCATTCCTTAAACTTTTCCAAACGCGGGTAGAAAATTTTGGAAATGCATAATGCAATATCCTTAATTCACACTAATTATTCATAATATATATGTCCATTGAATAACCATGTCCATTGAAAATCTTCATTTTTTATAATTGAGGAAATAGATCATTCCAAGATATATTTAGAATTCCCTAATAATACATTATAAAATATTTGGAATGAAATATTATGCAATACATACAACATTTGGAAACGACAAATTGTGAAATATTTCTATATTTTCAATTTTAAATCATTTAATCTCAGCTTCGTAACTCGTGTATAAAATGAGTTCAGCAATTTAAAGGAAATTATAATTTAATAATTATTTGGCAAATTTAAAGGAGCATAAGATACTTAGTACATTTATAATAACAGCGAACAGTAAAAGAACTTATATTAGCAGTAAGAATAAATACTTAAAAAAATTGTAATTTGCATTGTATTTCTAAGGAAAAGCTTAAAAACTGACGAATTCCCCCAAGGCCACAAAAACAGGTGCATTTAAATATGTTTTTAATGACCAAGTATTCAAAAGGATTCTGATATAATTTTTGGATCGGTTTAAAAGTGCATTTACCAAAAATTTATATTTTAACTTTAAGCCCACGACATATTCTCCACGAACATTACAAGTCTATGTCTTCCGTAAAGCTCATATAATGCTGAAAAACCGCCCATCAACTATTACAAAAGTTCTATAACAAAGGCATCTAAATGGCAAAAAGCAAAAGATCTGGGCGACTAGAATTTAATAAAACCGATTCAAATATAGGCTAAAACTGTAGAACGATCAAGGAACATGTATTTAGTTAAGAGAAAATTATTGAAAATAAGAGAAGCTAGCAGAGCAAAGTAACTAAAATGTTCTAGTATTATAAAAAATTCCATTAGTTTTAACAGTTGAAAGACAATCTCTCAGGACTAAAGTGTTTGAAAGAAAATTACTAAGCATACTTATCTGAAAATGCTTACGAATTAAATGATTACATTGCCTATAAATTAAAAAAACCCAAGAAATTGTCAAAAAATCAACCCGGTTTAAACAGAGCTCCAAAAATGTAAGACTACTAAAAACTCATGACATACTAATTTTTTCATAATAAGCAGACTAGCGACTTTGAATCGCTCTTAATTGTCACACTCTGGAAAGATTCTTATCTAAGACATCCGAAATGTGCCCGTTCCTTGCCAAATTAGCACCGCCGCGTTAATTAGTGCAACATTAAGAAAATATGGTCGCCATTCCTACGAATGTCCCAATTTATTTGCAATAATAAGGCAAAAACTTAAAACATATTTTTTAATGATTAGAAAAGTGGTTTTACCAAACCCCAAATTCAAAATAATACACATACAAATTTAAGAACAAGAGATTATATTTTCTATTGTATTAGAAGAGGCAATTTACCTTTCGTGCCGATTTGGTCTTAATCCGGCATTTCCTTCACACATGTAACCTGAAATTCTTTGCTATTTTCGTGTATAGATAATCATTAGTCACCGGAATATGCCTTTAAAGTCACCGACTACTCGTAAATTAGACCACCCTTTAACATTTTGTGGGAGGTGAGAGCATATTTCAAAATAATGTTAACAACATTCTTTTTATGCATGTTGGCCTGAGGGGAGCGGCCTAGTTTATACGTATGTATCAGACTTTTGCGAAATTTTCTGTGTTATGTCACAGATTTTGAACAAGCTTCTTTTCTACGTCCCTGGACCACAATTTATTACAATATAGACTTTCTACATCAACATATTCTTCCAAACACGTAGGTATTCAAATCCAGGCAAAGGTAACTTCTTTAAAAGCTTCTCTTTTAAAAAATTTAGGTATATGAAAAAGCAGTTTTTTAGATAAGGGACCAAAACTGATAAAGCAGTAAAAAAAGAGTACAATTGCAAGTTGATAGAAAATTTAAAACAAAACGCTTACTCTGCATGTGTACGGAAACAAAAAGTCCATTCGTCCGTTTTGAGTTTTTGCAAAAGTTTCACTGCACGACTGTTGCAGTTTCGTATAGTGGAATCATTTCTTTCTCAATGCCAATTGAAAGTGAATTTAGACGGTCTATATTCCACTCTTCAGTAAAAAATAATTCTCTTCAACATTGAAAACAGCGTCCACTTTCACACTCGTCAAGGGAATTGTACAAATTTGAGTTCAAAAAAGCACTCGGTTATATTTCTATTGATGAACAATTGTAAAATTGCTAAAGAACTATCTGCTTGATTAATCTTAATCACAAATAACAAATAGTTTGCTTTTTTAATTAGTTTTCTCTAGAAAATTGTACGTTTGAGTAACAGCAACGAAATCCTGGACAGGAAATTGGTTTGCATATTTAGTGAATTCATATGAGGAAAAAAGAGTTTCAATGCTAAGCGGTGACCTGTGAGTTGAAGTCGGTCTTTGGCTTGATTAGTTAGTATATCACGCTACACTCTCCTTTCGTTCGTCCGGAAGCAAATTAATTTGCCCGCGATTCTTCGGCGGATATTGTGAAGGTTTTACGAACCTATAAAGGTCGCTTCTTGAAAATGGTTTACAAATCCGCGGATCGAGACTGAAATTTTTTAAAGAGGAAAAATCACGCATCTCTATTTTGGCAAAAAAGGCATTTAATAATGAAAATATTCAACATTTGGGTAGCGTAATAATAGATAAGTTCTATATTGTTGAGGCGGATTCATTTTTTTACAAACCTCAAGACCATTACACAAAAGACTCCAATCATACATAAAAAACAGAGAATATCATAAATCACACATTTGTCAACATGCATTTGATAATTGCCATAAAATTCAATGGAATAATTCCACAATTTTAACAAAAGAACAATCCACAAAAAAACGTAAAATTAAAGAAAACGCACTAATTTTACTAAATCAAAATAATTGTGTTGCTTCATGTTCATTTAATTTAAGTCATACATGGTTACCTATGCTAAAATCTGAAGTAGACCAGAGAAACATACACCCAAATTAAATTTACACCAGAATTATTAATTAACATTACCTTTATTAATTTAAACAATGAGATTAAGTCAAAGTCACATAACTGACAATTTGAACAGACGAATTATCAGAAGGAATTTTCATATACTGTATTATCCTACTATTGTTACACAATTTATTAACATACTCTTTTTTAGATTCATTTAGGTTCTTTTGATAACTATAGCAGAAAATAGCTATCGAAACGTCAAGGTAATTTTTCAAATTAATTTCTCTACTAATTGAACTTTTCTCTTACAGCTTGAACCTAAGTGTGTCGCAGGATACCCTCTAGGTGATAGTTCTTGATTACTTTTTGATAAATAATTCGTTCTTATTGCGA